CCCCCACCTCCCCACCCCCACCCCCGCCTTACGCTATTGCCCTGAACACACCTTGTGCTATTTCCCACAAGCCCCTCAGGACGTTACCCACAATTCCCTGCTCACACTGTTACCCAAAATCATCCTCATCCTGTCACAGGTAATCCCTCATCACACACACCACCCTCTGCCCTTTACCACACTCACCACACCCATTGTCCCCCCTCCATCCCATTACCCCACTCCCTCCATTACCCTACTCCCTCCACTATCCCATTCCCCTCCATTACACCCTCTCCCCATTACCTCCTCTCCTCATTACCCTCTTCCCTAATTACCTCACTCCCTCCATTACCCCACTCCCTCCATTACCCTACTCCCTCCACCATCCCATTCCCCTCCATTACACCCTCTCTCCATTACCTTCTCTCCTCATTACCCTCTTCCCTAATTAGCCCACTCCCTCCATTACCCCATTCCCTCCATTACCCTACTCCCTCCAATACACCATTCCCCTCCATTACACCCTCTTCCCATTACCTCCTCTCCTCATTATACATCCCCCAATTACCCCACTCCCTCCATTACCTACTCCCTCACTACCTGAATTATCCCACCCCCTCCATTACCCCACTCCCCCATTACCCTACTTCCTCATTGCTTGTCACCCCATTACCACACTCCCCCATTACCCTACTCTCTCATTACTCCCACTCCCCAATTACTCCACTCCCCCATTACTCCACTCTCTCATTACTCCCACTCCCCCATTACCCCACTCCTGCCATTACCACCAACCTCATTACCCCACTCCCCCAATACCCCCCTCCCCCATTACCCTACTCCCTCATTACTCCCACTGCCCCATTACCCCACTCCCATTACCCCATTTCCATTACCAGATGTCCCCTATTGCCACAGTCCACTGCATTAACTCTTCCCCCATTATCCCTCACCCCATTACCCTACTCCCCCATTATCTCTCACCCCATTACCCTACTCCCCCATTATCCCTCACCGCATTAACCTACTCCCCTATTACCTCTCACTCCCATTATCACACTCCGCTCCATTAACCCCTCCCTCCATTATCCCCTCCCCCCATTACCACATTTGGTGGGATGACCTCGTTCATTTCCAGATCATTCTACTGTGGTCTGAGCAGGACAGAGACTCTGGAGAGACAGTGTTGATCAAAACAATCAGTTTCACAAGCCCAGACAACAATTTCTCCCATTCAGTCCGTCTGGTCCATGCTGGTGTTTATGTAGCACAGTAGCCTCCCATCCAGCACACTATGCTTCTGCTCCCGCCTCCTTTATCCTGCTTCCCCTTCGTGTACAGTAATAAGACAGGGAACTGCAAGTGCTGGAGACTGTAACAAGAGCAGATATCACTGGAGAAACTCAGCAGGACCCTAGGGGAGAGATTTCTGCGGGACCTACTGAATTTCTCCAGCAATGTGTTCCTTTATTGTATCCCTGCTCTAGTTTCATCTCACTATTGGTGGGAGCACATTCTCAACTTGCTGTGGGCCAAGAGATTTCCGCTCAATCCCTCAATGTGACGTTTTATTTACAAAATCCAATGTGTCCTGCTCTCCCCCACTACCCCTCTCCACATCTACACCTTTAACCTTTCCTGGGAAAAGTTGGAATGACTGAATGAGCTCACTACCTCAGCCATCTCCTTATCTAAAGAGCCTCAGTCAGTCCTGTTTGATCGCTTTCTCAGCTCAGTGGTTAGCACTGCCACCTCACAGCACTAGGGACCTGGGTTCAATTCCAGCATCAGGTCAATATCTGTGTGGAGTATGCACTGTCTCCTTGTGTCTGCGTGGGTTTCCTCTGGGTGCTCTGATTTCCTCCCACAGTCCAAAGATGTGTAGGTTAGGGTGGATTGACTGTGCTATAGTGCCCAGGGATGTATAGTTTATGTGGAGTAACCATAGGAAATGCAGAGGGACAGGTCAGAGGCGTCGGTCTGAGTGGAATGCTCTTCAGAGGGTTGGTGTGGACTTGATGGGCAGAATGGCTTGCTTCCACATTGCTGGGATTCTATAAGGTGCAACCCTTTCAGTTCATGTATGGACCACTGCTTCCTTTCATGCTTTTCCCCTCCAATTTGACTAAACTTCAACGCCCTTCGAATCACATTGTTGGGGGGGAAGGGTAATGTTGCAGCAAAGCCCTTTATAAGTGACCGTTTCCGTGCTGGAGATATGTTTCAACAAGCCTGAAGCCAAATATTTCTCGACGTTGCTGAAAGAGTGCATTGTGACGGGGTCGTGCGAGGCCTGGAGATTTGAGGTAGCCTTACAGAGTAAACACCCTGAACAGCCTTGCTCACTCAGACAGAGCGCTTGTGTGGATGACAGGACAGCTCTCCCAGCAGCATAAACAGGACTCTGATTGTACCCGTCTGGGAGCAGGGAAGACCAGCCTGACTCTTCAACCTACCAGATTCCAAGGCCTTGGATACCAGGGTGAAGTACACTCTGATCTCCAGCCTGTGTGGTACACAGCGGTGGACCCTGCTCCCTTCCCAGCTGAATGCAGAATGGGGAAGCTGTGGTGGGACAGGTCCTGATCTGAGGATATTCCTGGAGCCGGGTGCACGTCTCTTCATTGCCCCTGGATTTACCACAGCTCGTGGGGACTTGGATGTAGTCGGCTGTAACGGTGTTGGGATGCCTGTTCACCTCGCCATCTCGGCCTTCAGTGGGTTACCTGCTGCTTCCCGATGCCATGTGCTGGCAGCATTGTCAGTGAAGCTGCTCATGTAGTTCAATGGAGAACGCCGTACACTAGCTCAAGCCGGAAATGCCGCTTTGTCAGCACAGCAAGATCCCACAACTAGCCGAGTCAAAACCACTGGACACCCAGTTCACTGAGCGATGTGGTCTGAGGGAAAAATATGTACCGGGGAGGGGGGGGGGTGCGGGCATTGTGGTTGCACATGGACTTAGTGGCTGCTAGAGGCAGAGGAGCTTCTTACCTTCAAAAGTGTAGCTCTCCCTCAGTACTGACCCTCTGACAGTACGGCACTCCCTCAGTACTGACCCTCTGACAGT